TTGCTGTCAGGGTGAGAATCTAAGTCTAAAGTCACCCTAGGGTCAGATTCAGCATCAGGGTAAGTAAATCAAATTTATGGTCAGGATGAGGGTCAAGATGAGGGTTATGGCGAGGGTCAATGTCAGGGTCAACGTCAAGATAAGTGTTAAGTTCAGGGTCAGCCTCAGAGTGAGGGTCATATCAAGGAATAGACAAGACTGAGGGCAGGGTGAGGACCAGGGTCAGGATAAGTATGGAGTGAGCATCAGGCTTATGGTAAAAGTAAAGGCTAGGTTCAGGGTCAGGGTCAGAGTGAAGGTCAGTAAAAGTTCAGAGTTAATATGGCAATAGTGTCTGGGGCAGAGTCAGCTTCAGAATCAGGATTAAGGTCAGGCTGCTTTCAGTGTGGGAAGATCACCAGGGTCAGGCTCAGGGTAAGGTCAAAGTCAGCTTGAGGGTCAATTTCAGGTAAGGCTCAGGGGAACAAGGACATCAGAAGCTATTTGGGGAGATGGTCATGCAGAGGGTGAGGATAAGCGTGTTTTAAAATGTAGGTTTTTATTATTATTTAAATATGGGGAGGCCAACAGATCAGTACACAGTTATCATTGAAAAGATAGTTTGTGACAGCTCCCAAGAGGAGGGGCATGTCATGCCACACAGGCCACATGGAGAAGCACCACAGTTGGTCAGGAGGCAAAGGGAGAGAGGTCAGAATCAGGTAAATTTAAAGGAAAAGATCAGTGTCAGGTTCAGGGTGAGACCAATGCTAATTTCTGAGTGTCGATGAAGGCTAAGGGTCACACTCAAGGTCAGATTGAGCGCCATTGTGAGGGTCAGAACGGGGGTTAGTGTCAGAGTCAGGAAGAACAGTCAGGGGTGTGAGGCAAATGTTCAGAGTCATGATCAGGAAGAGGTCAAGGTCAGTTTCAGCACCGGGATCAGGGTCGGGATCAGGGTGCGGTGCCAACCCGGGCCAGGGTGAGGGAAGGGTAGTGTCGGGGTGATAGTCTGGTTCAGGTTAAGCATAAGTTTCAGATTCAAGGCAGTGTCAAGGGCATAGTGAAGGTATGTGTAAGGGTCATTGAAGAGTCAGAGTGAGGTCAGGCTCAGGGAGAAGGTAATGGTCAAGTCAGGGTAAATGGAGAGTGAGTGTAAGAGTCAGGGTCAGGGTCAGGTAAGGGTCAAGTTTATGGTCATGATGAGAGTCGTGGTGAGGCTGAGATTCAGGGCCAGGGTGAGGGTCAAGTTGAGTGCTGGTGTAGGGTTAGCATCAATGTTAGGAGCAGGGGCAGGGTAAAGATGAAATTGAAGGTAAAGGTGAGAGTGAGAGTCAGGGTCAGGTACAGAATCAGAGTCAGGGTGAGAATGAGACAGAGTGTTTAAATGAGTATCAGGATCAAAGTCAGGGTGAGTGTCACAGTCAGACACAAGGTAAGAGTGAGTAACAAAGGTGAGATTCAGGTATTGAATAGGGGTGGTGTCAGAATGAGAGAGTCAGAGTCAAGGTGAGAGTGAGTATACACTTCAGGGTCAGAGTGATGGTTATAATCAGTGTTTAGGTCAAACTGAGGGTCAAGGTCAGGGTCAGGTGAGGATGAGTGTGACAGTCAAGTTCAGTGTGAATGTCAAGTAAGGGTCAGGGTGACAGAGATTCAATGGCAATGTGAAAATCGGGGATGTGGTGAGGGTCACGGTAGGATCAACGTCAGCGTAGGGCAGGGCCATAATGAAGTCACAACTGGGGTCAGTGTCAGGTTGAGTGTCATGCCAGTGTAATAGTCAGGATCAGTGTGAGTAAGCAGTTCAGGGTCAGGGCGAGGTTAAGAATCAGTCAGGATTAGCGCATCAAGAGCAGACACAGGGTCAGAGTCCTTATAACTTTCAGGGTCAGGGTGAGGCTCAGAGTTATGTACTATGTGAGGTTAAGGGTCAGAATATAAGTCAGACATGAGGGTCAGAGTCAGGTTTAGGGGCAGGGTGACCCTGTGTATCAGGGTCAAAGTCAACTTCAGAGTCAGTGTCTAGGACAGGATATGTCTGTCAGTCAGGGTCAGAGTAGAAGTCAGAATCAGGGTGAGGGTGAAAAGTAGGGTCAGGTAAAGTTCAGAGTCTAGTTCAGCATCAGGATCAGTGTGAGAGTAAGAATGAGAGATAATGTCAGTGTGAAGGTCAGGGACAGTGGGAGGGTAAGGGTGTTTGTCATGGTCAGAATCAAGGTCAAGTGAGAGTGGATAAGCGTCAGAGTCAGGGTGAGATTAAAGGTGAGGGTCAAGTTCATAGCTCTAGGGACAGAGTCAATGTCAGGGTGAGGATAAGGGCAGGGTTATGGCTGTAATATTTCACCTTTTGTTTACAATCTTATTTCTAGTATTAATTCAAGTACTGCTGTCAAAGTAAAAGGAGCATTATTCTTCCTGCT